CGTATTCGTTTAATACCCAGTAATTCAGTTAGCTGGTGAAAAAGTCGGCTTTCAAACTGAGCACCTCTATCTCTGGTGATAATGGATGGGACACCAAAGTTGGCTATCCATTTTTCGACCAAAGCTTTAGCTACCGTCTCAGCGGAGACGTCGGCTAATGGAACTGCTACAGGCCATCGAGTGAATCTGTCGATGCAAGTTAGAATGTTTTTTTTGATTGCACACTAGTCAGTCACTAGTGTAATGCGTCTAGTCCTATCTTCGGTGCAGACTGAATTCTATCAGTCATGTTTGCAATGTGGCCACCATGCTAGGTGGCTTGCCATTACGGTGCACTGTGAATTGTTGGTATTAGATGGTATTAGAATGTAATTGAAACCATTGGAAGGAGGTAGTGGATCAACTATGTCTACATGTATATGGTCAAATCTAGAGTCAGGGTTAGGAAAGCGACAAAGTGGTGCATTGGTGTGACGGTTGATTTTGACTCTTTGACAGGACAAGCAATTTCGTGTCCACTTCTTAACATCGCTATTAATGTTCTGCCAAATAAATCTTTCTTTTAGTAGTTTGATAGTAGCGCTGACGCCGGGATGCCGCAAGTTGTAACTTCTTGAATATTGTATGTTTCAAAGCTGCTGGAACGAAGGATCGATATTTATCCGTAAAGGTGTCGCAGATTACTTTTGTCGTGCCAAAAGAAATTGCGTCGAGTTTTAAAGATGTTGTTTTAGAAGACTTGATCTTTTTTAGTCCGGCGTCATCTCATTGTAAGTTTGAGAGATGCTAGTAGTCGATGTCTGGGCATACAATGTTGTCAATGTGCACACGTGATAAAGCGTCTGCCACTTCATTGTTTTTACCATTCACATGTCGCAGATCGGGGGTGAACTGAGATATAAACTCGAGATGTCGTAGTTCACGCGAAGAGTAATTATCCTGTTTTGCTGATAAGGCTTTCGTTAGAGCTTTATGGTCTGTAAAGACAGTAAAAGCTGTACCTTCCAGCATATGTCGAAAGTGCTTGATTGCTAAATAAACAGCCAATAACTCTCTACCAAAAGTGCTATAGCGGCATTGAGTAGGATTCAGTCGTTTCGAAAAGAATGCTAGGGGTTGCCATTCGCCGTTTACGTGCTGCTGTAAAACTGCCCCGATGGCAACGTCTGAAGCGTCTGTCATGAGAGACAGTGGGGCGTCATTTTGGCGTCTGACTAAGAGTGTCTTTTCATTTAACAATTGTTTGACATTTTCGAATGCTTTAACAGCTTCTGTGGGCAAATGGAATGAACGACTATGTCCACGTAAGCAGTCAGTTAATGGTTGTAAAGCTTTAGCACAGTTCGGTATAAAACGCCGGTAAAAATTAACGAGACCCGAAAATCGCCGTAATTTCTTAAAAGAATCTGGTAACGGATAATCTTTGATAGCTTGTACGTCATCAGGGACTGGTCTGATTCCTTGGCTATCGATTAAATGACCGAGGAATTTCAGTGAGGTCCTACCAAATTCGCACTTGTCTAAGTTGATAGTCATGCCGTATTGGTTAAGTCTTTCAAACACAGTCTTCACGTGTTTCAAATGCTCGGCTTCGTCTGCACTTGCAATTAGTAAGTCGTCGATGTATGCGTAGACGAAAGGGAGACCACGGAGTACTTTGTCGATTAGGCGTTGAAATGTCTGAGCAGCGTTCATTGGTCCGAAGGGCATGCGTACGAATTCGTATAAGCCGAATGGTGTGGTAATGGCGGTTTTCGGAACGTCATCCGGGTGGGTGGGGATATGATGATACGCTCTGACAAGATCGATTTTAGAGAAAACTTTAACATCTGGTAAATTGCTAGCGAAATCGTGGATATGTGGTATTGGGTATCTATCAGGTACCGTTTGCTTGTTTAAAGCTCGATAATCACCACACGGCCGTATCTCACCAGAAGACTTTTTGGGTACCATGTGAAGCGGTGAAGACCAAGAGCTGTTGGATGGTTGAATAATACCAAGCTCTAGCATTTTATCGAACTCTGTTTTGGCGATTTTAAGTCGATGTGGGTCAAGGCGTCGGGGACGTGCAAAAACTGGTGGTCCAGTGGTTTTAATGTGATGAACCACGTGATGCTTCGGTTCTGTTCCTCGAAAAGAAGGTTGTAAAAGGTCAGGAAACTGATTTACCAAATTGGTATATGGAGATGCGTGTGACCATCAAGTTCAGTGATGATGCAATCGTACCAGCTATGTACGTTTTATTGAGCGAGTCTATTAGCTTGGGGCTTATTGGATCAACTAGCAGTTTGTGTTACTGTAGAAAATCGATACCGAGGATTGGGGATGGGACGTCTGCAGTGATGAAAGACCAAGTGTAGGTATTTTTCAAACCAAAATCCAAAGTCATTCGTTTACTTCCATATGTAACAATACTGGACTGATTAACAGCTTGGAGCGTAACTGCTGGGTCAGGATTTTTACGTTCCTGTGTAGAAGGAGGGAGAACACTCACCTCTGCTCCTGTGTCGACTAAGAATGTAGTACCGGTATTTTTATTAGTTACATAAAACAAACGACTGTTAGATCGTAGGTTGCCGACAGTAGAAGTTTTCACACATGACGATATATCTTTTGGTTTAGTCTGGAAGTTCCAAGGTGAACAGCACCGTCGTGCATTGCTTCCATAACTACGGTGATACCAGCAAATATTATCGCGATGTCGTGACGTGCTAGGGGATCGAGAAAGACGTCGACGAGACGAGCTTCTAGAACGGCTTGGTTGTGTGCGTGTAGTCAGTTTTGCTAACTGACTCAGTAAGGTGTCGACTTTGTGTTCTAGAGTCTGTATTCTGTCGTGAGTGTCTGGTATTCTGCTAGTGGAAGCGACAGATTGAGGTGTTGACCTCTCGTACATGCGATCCGCGATTTCGGTGAGCCTTTCTATGTCAATGTCGTCGTCTCCGAAAGCAAAAACCTGCTGAATATTTGCAGGAAGTCGTCGCAGCCAGATTTGGTAAAAGAGACGTTTATCGATTTCTCTTCCGGCAACTAGGCTTTGCATATGCCTCATGAGTTGTGATGGGGTTTTATCCCCTAACTCAACATTGCTTAACAGGCGATCGAGTGCTTGCCTATCCGAAAGCGAAGTGCATCGAAGTACCTCTTCTTTCAACTTGTCGTAAGGCGCTTCTGTGCTGGGTCGAACGATGTATTGCCGTACCTGCTCGGCGACTTCGTCTGGTAGTACTGTACTCAAAATGCCGAATTTAGCTGTCTGTGACGTGAGCTTATTGCTAGCCAAATAATGCTCCAGTCGTGCAAACCAAAGATGAGGGTCTCTGGGCTTAAAAACTGGTACAGTAAGAGAAATAGTACTAACAGATCCCAGCTCTAAGTTATCAGAGGTATTGGAAGACATGTTACAATTCGTAAAAAAATAGTTTAAGAGTAGCAAAAATAGCAAAATTTGTGCACACTAAGAATATGGCAAAACAGAAAAACATGCAATGCAGATGCTTACTGCAATTTACTGCAGGTTGTGCTATGAGCAAACACAAGAATGAGTTCAAAATGTTTAATAAATGTATAGATCCGCGAAAGTTAGAGTTTTATTATTCCAGCAAGTGCAACGACGCGTCGAGGTCAAGAAGTCGTCACCGTCGTCGGAGTCAGCAATTTGTCGTCGGGCTCACCAATTTCTTTCGTGTTCTATTTGACTAAATTAGCGTACACGTATTTTCTAGTACTTCTTCACGTTTATCAATGTGCGCAGACGTTGTGGCTACTCGACGCCCACAACGTAAAATCAGAAGGCACTTGTGAAGAGTGTAATCGTGTATTATAGCAGTAGTCAAATTTCAAAATTGTATCAAGGTAACGTTCAACAGTAAATTGACAAATGTTTACGAAGTACATATAAAATCGGTCTGTGTAAACATATAATATGAGTATGCAAATTATATTAAAATGCGTATGTTTATAGTTGGTATAGGGGTACTACAACACGACACTGTTCCTAATGGTAAGTGCTCCACTTCTTTGCTTGCAGAAGCTGATGTGCCTCAAGATGCAATGTAGTTTTTTCATTTCTTTCTTCTTACTTTTTGCATGACTTAATGTGTTCATTTAAAGACAATTTCAAAATGTCAGGCTGTTAATTTTTGTTTCAGGCGTAAACAAGACTTGCACAGATTGATTTGCTCGCATGATTCTTCTAATGTTGAAGGCAATGATGTAGGAAATAAATCGATTATAATCTATCTTGATATCTGTTCCTTTTCCAATCTCTGTTGGTCACCTCATATCTTGTTGATTTTCAAGCAAATCTTCCATCTGACTTATTAAACAAGGAAGCTGAGACTTTCTAGCATAACCCAGCCTATTCTCTTAGAATTTATTAGTCTGTGTATATTCTACTCATTGGTCTACCTAATTCCCCCATAGGCTTCTCACAACGGACTATGTTACATTAAGCAGGCGAGTGCAGGTTGTAAGCCGGGTTACCAGTGTTCATTTAACCGAAATAAGTGCTACTGTTTTTGATTGGCATTTTAATTCCTGCAAGCAGTCAGGTAAGGTCAACATGTTGGATACTGAACATCCGCTTTATTCTCATTTTTCTCCATGCTACTCTCCAAATAGGAGCAAAAGAAATTTCACAAGAATTTATGTTAGTACAACTACAGTAAAAAAATCCATTAATGTCATATTTAGCATGGGCGTTGAATAAAGAGACAATTGTCAGAAAAGAGCTAATAAACTTACATCATAATCTATAAATAAATAAAGAGGAACTTACTACCGAAATTAATATTACATAAATTATTTCTTCTGTTAACTTCTGTCTCTGCAAATTTTTAAGTTCTACTAGTTTATTTATTTGTAAAAGGAGATAAATTGTTAGAGTGTATACAAGTTTGAAAATTTCACTGTGTATCATTATTATAGAAAACTACTGCAAAACGACATTTGAATAGTAATTATGTCGGATAATGGGAAGTTTTATTTCTAAGAGAAATTTACACTCCAGTGTTATTTGAATTAACACTGCCTTGTTGTAAGAATGTGAGATTGGTAGATGCTAATGGTGATGGTTGCGATCCAAGCTGCATTGGTTCTGTGGATGAGGAATTCAGCAGTTCTCTGCTTGATAACTGTTGGACAGCTGGTCCAGACACTGGAGCATATTGATTCCATGGTTGTGGAGGATACTGACATTGCAGAGAAGGATTATTTGCTGAAGCTTGAGTACATTTCAAAATAGAGCTGATCGCTCGCAAACCATACTGTGGAATATTATAAATGCACTGACCGGGACTGAGCAGAAGGTATCTACCATGGAATTCAGGTCGCCTGTACAGAAGAATTACGAACATATTAGTTTATAAAGTCATCAGATAATTGTCCATAGTGCTGTTAAATAACTTATGGGAAATTGCTGTAATGACATACAAAAAATGACAATGGCTAATCTGTGAATAAAATCTGTTTCAAGTTTGACCATGGATTGACCTCAGTTAGGGGACTATCTAAAACCAGTGAATACTGGACAGCTGCTTCATTATAGTTTGGCAGTCTTTATCAGCACGTAACCATCGGGAATCAAGCCCAGAGCCTTTTCGACAGACAGACAGACATAGAAGACGCTTCAGTTCAAATAAGTACGTCATTTGCTGAGAGTTTTCGTATTATAACGATAGAAGATGGTAGTGTGGTGAGTGCTACTTATAATCCGATATAAGTAGTATATCAGAAACGAAGTAACAATGTGTTTGGCACACTGGAAAGAGCAATCAAAGAAGAGAACCATAAGAAGAATGTTGCCATATGATGCAGAATCCAAGAAGCTATCGAATGAGACGATATTCGACCAATTCGTCAAGGATGTGGTAAATGATGTGCAAATGGCCGGTTGAGAATATGGTATACCAAATTTAGCTATGTACCATACGTTTCACCAAATTAACATTCTTATATGCCTCCTCAGTCTTGTCTACTTTACAGTAGTATTTCGATGGCGAAATTATTCATCGGAAAACTGACGTACAGACAGGGTAGAGTGCGAAAACCTCATATTGAAATCCCCGTTTACTCATGTCCTCCATATGACACTTCTTTTGTCTTCCTTTTTAATGTTTTCTAGATTATTTCACAAGGATCTTTCATTTACCATCTTCTCAACTTAATCCGTCTCCCCACCTTTGACTATTCTTGCAGCAGACAATATACACTTAATAAACTACCCTATAAATTCTTGTCATTAGCGTAAGTCACCTACGTGCATGCGTCAAAAAGTTTCGAGTGTAGATGCTCCAACCTTTCTCAATAATATCCCCTCTTGTTATGTCTTAGTACCAACTTCTCTATCCCACTGCATCCAACTCTCAAGTTGGATAGCAATAACACTTTTCTGTTTGTCTCCTCTTCTGACGGTATGAACAGGAGCATGTTCCGGGCACACACCACAATATGGTGTTTGTGGTCATTTATCTTTTATGCGAAGGTACTTGACTTAAATTCAAGAATTCTGATAACCTTCATCAAAAAATTCTTCTAAAAAACGAGTTATTAGAAAATCATGGAAATAATTACAATAATAATAGATCAATTGTCTCATAAAATGTTTTATTTTGATTTGGTGATAAAATGGACTGATAATATCAGTGGTGATAATGGCATAATAGAAGTATTTTCCAATTTTGTGAAGATGAGGCGTAAGACAAGACTGCCTACAATCGCCAATGATTTTCCTGATTGTGTGGTGAGAGCTGTCTACTAGCCAAATTGGTAGACAGTAATTTATGTCAATATTTACGTTCCCAAGATTTGTCGTGAGAAAATGTGAACAAAGATTGATTCAAAGCCGACCACAGCAGACTTTGCGTAGGCGGATGCAGTTAACTTATAGAGGATTTGACATTCAAGAAACAGTCACAAATAGATGAAAGATTAACTTTACGTGAGAAACAACCAATCGGAAGACTGTGTTTGTTTGTTTACATAACCATAGTAATGCACATGAAAACATATATAAATATGCGTTGATTTCCTTAATAAATGATCTGTTGCCTGACTCTTGCCTTCTGTCGTTACAATTGCAGTAGATTGGATAATGCGACAAACAGTGGGCAATGAGGAAACAGGCATAAAATGGACACACACAAAAAACTTGGAGGATCTGGACTTCGCCGATGATATATGTCTGATTTCTCACAAACTGGAAGATATGCAAGCGAAAAGCAACAAGTTAGCAGAAGAAGCATCAAAGATAGGAGAGACTTCAGGTGAACATAGAGAAAACAGATGTGATGAAGATTCCTGGGCAACATCACCAACAGCAACAACAACAACAACAGACAACAATCACCATAAATGGGAGGAACCTGAAAGAAACAACCTCCTACATCTACCTACCCAGGAAGCATCGTTTCAACTACAGGCGGAACCGATGAGGATATCAAAGCAAGAATCGGAAAAGCAAGACAAGCTTTCACTACTCTTGAGTCTGTGTGGAGGTCAACAGCACTCACCATCAAAAACAAGATCCAGATTTTCAACTCCAATGTCAAGTCAGTGCTACTTACTACACGGATCCGAGACTTGCACTGCGCATCATAAAGAGCATCTCAAACAAACTACAGACCTTCATTAACAGTTGTCTTCGCTCAATAATTCGCTCAAGATCAGATGGCCAGAAAAGATAACCAACACGTTGGGATCTCTGGGAGCGAACCAACCAGGAACCGATTGTGAAACAAATATGCGGGAAGAAATGTTGGTGGATTGGCCATACTCTGAGGAAACCATCAAGTGACATTACTAGACAAGCCATTGCTCGAGTGGAACCCGAAAGGGAAGCGGCGAGTTGATCGTCAATGCAAGGGTGACTTGGAGGAGGTCATGTGAAGAGGAGATGAAAGCATGTGGGCAGACTTGGAGCCAGCTGAAAACTCTAACAGAGAGCCGTACGCAATGGAGACGCACGACTGAAGCCCTATATTCCTCTAGAAATTAAAGGAAACAATAATAATATAATAATATAACAAAACAGCTTTACAGAAACTTACTCATACAATAACCAATATCTTCTAGGCAAAAACCAAACCATTTCAGGTGAACATGCAGATCTTGTATCCCATGCTAATTTTGATGAGATTGCTTCATTGCTATCGCACATATCATACCAGTAACCTCTTAGATTTATTTCACTAAACAGTCTAAGGCATAGTAATGAGGAATAATCTCCTTGTAATAAACGTGTTTCCGTTTGTTGTTCACTTGTATTGGTTTTCGTCTCCAATATCAACGTAGAAAATAAGAAAATTAGCACAGTGCTGATAGACAACACGTGAGTTGGCGTCATTCTCTTGCTCAAAGTGTAACAAGTCTTCAGCTATCTTTTTTATACTATTTCGAGAGTAATAGATCATGTCATTAAAATGAGGTGACTCCGTGATCACTCTAAAAGTTTACGACAAACATGCATGATTTCAGACAAAGATTAATACTCGAGGCTAGTTAAGTAACCAGTTTAATTCGTAAAAGTACGGTCATTCACATGTTGATATAAATATATATGAGCAGTAGTAAAACAAATCACATATATTGCATGTGATCATAACCTTATCAAAAGAATTTGTCAGTCACGTTCTAATCTCATCTTTATTTATTCTCCTAACATTAATTTAAAATAATTGATTTACCAGATGTAAAATGTTTGCAGTGATCAATGAATCAAATACATGTTCACGCCACACTACTGCAGAATGTGTGAGCGGGAAAGATGTCTGCCAACTGGAAAATAGACAGAAGACAAGTAGTTCAGCGAAGAGTCTCTTTTTGGCGAATTCATTTTCATAGCTGTACCTGTTGCTGTGGAGCCAGGTACATCGGTCGTTCAACGCGCATCCTGTCAAAAAGGGTCAAAGAACACTATCCAGCGTGGCTACAGAAAGGAATTAATGGCTGCATAAGGAGTGCAATAATCGAACACCTCGTCAACACTGGTCATTCCATCTCAACAAACGCCTCCTTCAAAGTAATCTACAAAGTGAAGAACAACCTTCCAAAGACAGTACGATTCCGTCTTCTTTGCATCACAGAAGCCCTAGCCATTCAGTTGGAGGAACCAGAACTGTGCATACAAAAAAAATTATTCAACCACTTCTACTCTCATGGTAACAACTCTGTTGATTCGATTTAACTTTTGTTTGTATGCTTATTTTTTCCACTTAAACCCTTTGTGTAATTCCGTATATTTTGTTTCCATGCACACTTTGAGTACAACTCTTTCATCAAACTATTCATGTTATTACGTAACTCTTCTTTAACTATCGTTTGTGACAACTCATCACTACCCTCTTATATCAACATCCAATTCATCTGAACTTACTAATTTTATTTTCGTTTGACAAATTTAATGTACACACACATACAAAACAACCATATATATTTGCGATTGTACAGCTATGAAAATGAATTCGCCGAAAAGATACTCTTCGCTGAACTACTTGTCTTCTGCCTATTAATGTTCGAATGGGAATTTTTCATGAACTGGAAAATAGGCTACCATCTCAAATTGTCATGGAAAGTCGATTGAAGTCAGCACGATGGCTGTCATGGAATGATTCTCCTTCCAACCACATGCAAAATATTAAGCTGTATAGGCCTGAAAAGGTTAAAGAATGGTGCCCAAGGAAGGCTTTGGCCATCAGCAGATTTCTTTTAGGAAAAACGAATCATACGGAGCCCGAATTACGACAGTGTGCATCATGACCAAACAGATCCCAGAATGTCAGTCAGATCTGTATTTCAGATTCGTCGACACATACGATGCAAAATCATTTAATTTTAATCTGTTTACATGAATACTGAAATTACTGGGAAAGGGAACTATTCTACTTTGAGGATGAAGACCAAGGGGTGGTGATAGATGGACTGGAAAAACCTTTTCTGAACACATAGAAAGGGTTGAAATATTATTATGGCAACTACCTCAGCTAAATCTCAAAGTTGAGGGCGCACAAAGAAAGAATTGAGGTGGCTTAAAGGTTTTACCAATTTTTTATCCAATAGGTGAGCCAGTGTGTAACCCCTGATTGACCATTTGATTCCTCTTCCTTACCGCGTTCAGAAATGCTCAAGAAGGCGGTAGTGCACTTGCCAAGTTGTTCTGGTCATATAATTGTCCTTAAAAAAGCAAATAAATTTATAAATGCACACTGAAGTGGCGAGATTCACTAGCTCTTGTTTCACTTGCATTCAAACCATTCGACTGGTGGTGGATTTCAGACACAGTTTTGCAGTAATGAATATTTTAGCTATTATTTTGCCATAAAGTCATATATATATTATATATATATATATGTGGTATATAGTATATATATATATGTGGTATATAGTATATATAGAGTAACCTATGTACTTCTGATGCGTTCTTCACATTCCTGTTGGGATGTAGGGCTTCAACAGCACATATCCGTTCCATAATATTTCTCCTGTCACCCTCTGACTCATCGTTTAACCCACTGCTTCATATTTCGGCTCCACCCAATAGCCTGTTTGGCATAGGATGACACTAGACGGTCTTCCAGCGTTTGTTCAATCGATCCTCCATCTTATTTAGCATATTTTTTGGATAATCAGTTGTTGACTGGTTCTCTAACTGTCAGAGTACCTTGCTGTTTATCCTTTCCGGCCATCTAATCTCCAGCATCGATCGAAGACAAGCGTTAATGAGAATTGGCAGCCTATTGAAAATGCTTTTCACAACGAGTAAAGTTCCTGAATCATGTGAAAGTGTTGAGTAACTTGCTATTAATATCAAAAGTTCGGATTATGCTTCTTTTGCTATGTGAGTACCGCCGATCTTGACATTGATTTCGTACTAATGAACGCCTACCTTGCTGCTAGCGAATAGTTTGAAAGAAATTCATCGGGGTTTCAGTATTCAAATGAAATTCCGCTTCTTGTACTCTTAATCTCAGTGGATTTTTTGTACACAGTGATCTCTTTAGTTTTTTTGAAAACAAAACTAAAAACTATCAGCTAAATAATTACAGTTTGTTCGTGCTACACGTTTTTCTTATTGATTTACATTATTCGACGAATTAGAAACAGAATATATATAGATAATTTAGCCAGATTATTGTTCATCATTCTCCAGTCCATGACATTTGCAAAGTTTGATTTTGGTTGTGAGGATCACGTTATTAAGATTAAAAGAAATAACACGTGCACTTATCATACACAAAAATCAATATGGTTTAATTTATATAGCGTAAAACTGAACAGTTTGGTGAAAGTCAAAATAAGATAAATCCAGGCATTCTGTTTGAAAAAAAAATAGATGATTTTCAGGAAGAAGAATTAATTGTAAAACACAAGCTATTTCACAATATGATGGTCAGTATTCGTTGCTAAAGTGAGGTTACTTAATTGAACGGATTACTGCATACAATTTTATGGTATTGTGACATTTTTGCTGCGCTTAATTACACTTGTAGCGACCGAAACCAATGTGCTGTGGTCTGAATGCTAGAGAGAAATCTTCGCGTTCCGCTGTATAACTAACCTAAACTTTCTTGAGTTACTTACAGTCATAAAGTGCTCCGATGACAGCAGGAAGACAGTTATTTGAGATAGAATCTCTGGTACTTAATAAAGGAGTCAGGCAGCTATGCAGATACAGTGGTTTCTCAGTTACAAAACAAGTAGTAAGAATCCAGAGGAATATCCAAAACAAGGTGGGATCAAAACTGTTTTAGGAAGAATCACACACTGAACAATTCCTGCAGACAGTCCAGGAATTATAGAAAATGGACTCTTTTGAATAGGAATGTTAATTACATTCCCCAACTCTTCTACCACTCGTAAAGATTAAACAAACATTTATTAACTTCGGATATGTTCTTTGTTCCACTCCTTCCATTTTATTGTGGAACACAGGCCACCAAACTTTCTAAGTTTCAATAACGGCGATGTTATTTCTACGGAGTGGAGTTGCCAGCATCATACCGGATCTTGCCTTTTTACGACTTACTACTGAATACTTGGCAAGGTGAGGATTACGAATTCGTTGGCGAGGATTCGAACTTGGACTTTATGTGTGACTGGAGAGCATTTTCTCGCTGAACAAGCGACGTAATCGGACATGTTCCAACGTGGTTCCACTAGTAATTTGTCATTTATGTATTAGGAATAAATGAAGTGTCAAAATATAATTTCAAAAGATGATTGTACTCAAGTATGTAAATCTGTGACGACAGAAGACAAGGGCAGGGCAACAGGTAGTTTATTGATAAAATCAAGAGGTATTTATCGATTTTTATATACATTATTATTAGCCTCATTGTTAGCAGAGAAGCAACCTCTTGTGATACGTTGTTTTATTGCTGAAGGTTATCTTGTACTGCTTGTGATCGTTTCTTAGAAAGTGAAGCCATATTTCTGCGAATCGTATTTGCCCACATTAAGTCTGCTGTGATTGATTGTTGAGTTCCTCAAGGTTAAGCTTTGTTATTGTTTTTTCCCATGACCCTGATTCGGGACGTAAACATTGACGTAAATTGTTGTCCACAACTTTCACTTGCAGACAGCTCTCACCACAAATTTATACGAAGATGCAGTTACAAATTTTCGAAGTCAAGTGTACAAAAAACTCTTTTTAACAATAAATTGTATTTGAAATATACTATTTTATTTATTTTTTAAATTTTATTCCTTTCCATTCCCAGTGGGACATAGGGCTTCAAGCTAGAACTTTGAAGTTACAGTATCAGTGTTGTTTATTTTAATAGGATGAGGTTGCTAGTCTCACACCAAACTTCCTCTCTTTGCCAGACTTTTAACCAGCTAAGCGAGGCGTGGAAGTGCGTGGACCGATGATCTAACCCCGGACCACCTGAGTAGCTGACGAGTATTCTATCTGTGCACCACAGATGTAAAAAAGAATGTTGTTAGTGTTATCATGAAAAATGGTAGAATCACTGAGACCTTCAAACTGAAGTATTGTGAAAGTTTTGTCAATAAAACAAGCTCAACTCAGTCGTAGATCTCGGTATCAGATACTCTAGTAATTTAACGTTCTCTGAACAAAATGATTAGGCTAGACGTAAAATATGAAGGCTACTAGGATGCATAATTCGCAATTTCTTTTGTTGTGAAACTAGGGTTTTATTATATAAAGTATGTATCCGGCCTATTTTAGAATACTGCCCGTTTATTCTTAGCGGACTCTGACAGAATGACAAGCTTAAATTAGAGGGAGTGCAACGGCAATTTGCCTCAAGAACTCTTGGTTTAGAAAGTGGTCTCGAATACTATGAGCGTTGTGACAGACTAAGATTAGAACCACTCTGGAAAAGACGTCTTAAGCTAAACCTTATCTTTTACTACAAGCAAACTAATCTTCTCTTGAACTCCTCCAGGCCAATAACTAAATCTACCGCTGTCATCAGTTACAATCTTAGAAATCATCACAATCTAGCTGCTATAGAGCATTGTCAGACTTACATGAGGTACAACTTTTTCTTAAATAAGTTTTCAGCCATTTGGAATAGACTACCAGCTGATGTTCGCGATGCAAACACACTTCCAGTGTTCATCTCCTCAGTCACCAGACTGCTCAAAGATGACAACGAACTTCTCTTTTTCACCCTACATAGATATTTTAAGTTCATTAAATGTGTAAGTAATAACAAACTATAATTATAAATGTTAATATTACTAGAAGTACATGATTAACATTTCTAAACAGGATATTAATATTAGTTCACACATAAAAGTTAGCATAACAGGACTATTTAGTTAGTTAGTGTACCAAAATAACCATAGTTACTACACAGAATATATATAAATATATATAAATTTATTAATCACTCCTTGAGGACTCCACTTGCTTTGTTATGTGCTGCTGTCATTTGTCTTCTTTTTCTCTCACCATTTTAGCTTATATATGACTTTTTGAATGAGATTGAAGAGCGTAGATATTTGACCACTCACAATGACAAATGTTCTGCAAACATTACTGGTCCCATATTCTACAGCTGCCTCGTGAATTACCCGTTACCTTCCTCCACGAAGTAACCTGGATTACAGTTGTGGAATATAGCTTTACACCAATGAAAACGTATTAATTTATAATACTTCACGATTGTAATTTATAACATAATTGACTCGCATTTCTTGAAAACACCCGTTTATAAGAAAATATAAACTGTCATTATTATTAGTCCACATTGAGTACAATTCACTTGTGATGTTACAATGAAAATGCTGACTAAATTATACAAGTGTATCACTTATTTTAAATTATTACCAGATTTGGATATAAATCAAGAATAAGATTCGATGCCGTACACACCAAAGTTATATGGGGGAATGACTTCACGCTTTATTTTTTTCCCGAAGTATTTGTAATACATCCAAAACATACTTGGGTTTTTTTTGTTATTGCGAAGAAAATATTTCTATATTTTTTGATGTGGTCCATTGAACCACTAGTTATCCTATTGTTCCCACAAAATAAAGACAAAAATGATACCAACCATGTAATTTCATCATAAACCAAACTTATGTAATTTAAATAATACACATCTATGCCTGTACAATTGGTGTGTCCTACATAGGTAGGAATAAATATGTACTTTATTATATTATCATTACTAAATATGCTTATTAATCGTATGTGTAATTTATCATATTGATGCTGCTTGTAAACTGGCTTACCTCAGGTACAAAAATGAGAATATATTATTATTATATGCATTGCAGTGGGCTACTCTTCAAAGAACAAATGGGAATACGTACCAATCCTTCTATAAGAATGTGCTTGACTAGAAATAATAGCTCTGCTGTGATACAAAAAACTCTAGATAGAACAGTATTTGATTATAGATTTCTCCATGAACCAATATCCTATGGTGAATCATTGAAGATCAAGAAGCAATGGACAGCTGTTTCGTCCAACTTTGGAATTACTCAGCAGTCCATATCCACTTATAGGTTATTGATATCCTGCCTAGTGGTTGGAAGGTCAATGGAGTGGAATTGAAGCCTGAATGTCTTGGGTTCAACCCCTAGTAACTTAATCGGAAGGCACTATTGAGGAGTCCCAGTCTGGGACGAAGCAGTTTTCTAGTGCTGCTTCACTGATTCTCCAAATGATTTTCATTAGTGAAGATTTCTAAGCTGAAATGAATACAAGTTATTATAAAACCTAAAATCTCAAAAAACACTATTGGATGCTTTATGTATTCATTTAGTCACTGTTTACTTCTCGTCAGAATTTTAATTTCCTTTGTGTAACAAATGTGCTAATCATTCAAACACAGATATGTAAAAAAATAATTTGCTCAGTGAAACTTTTAATCTTCTTTCTATTCATTCAGCTTCATCCCTGGTTAAATGAAGTCATAGTTACTTGAATAAATAATTATTCCGCTTTGTTTACATTACCGTAACTTCCCACAATTTTCAAAACTGCAGTTGTCATTGCGTAACACAGTTATCATGAATACAAACAGAAAATTGCAATTAATCATTGTCTGTAAACACATAAAGTAATCTTTTAAGCTATTCGGTAATAATATATTTCCGACTCTTTGATATCTTTGTGTTTATTTATGACTTTATATGTTGTCTTCGATTGGTATCGTGTAAGACTTGAAACTGGTTCATTAGTCATCCTCTTGACAACAGTACCGAAAATGTTTGTGTAGAATCTTTTTCTCCTTCTCTCTCACCTCTCCCTATCCAATAGTAGTAGCATTAACTTTAAATTATGGCAGTGAATATTGAAAGTAAACATAATATCACATGTATAACTCTTGCCTAACCTTCTTTATGCGCTTCTACCACTCTACATTTGGAATCGAATTCACAATTTGCAAATTAGTTAGCAAGTCACTAGCAACGGGAGAGATTTGTCAGGGGTAGCATCCTTCAATTATCTAGGCAGTATCGTCTCGACTACAGGCAGTCTGAAAGGATGAAGACGTCAAGGCAGACCGGAATTGGAAAGGCAAGATACGCCTTCATCAACCTGAAACCAGTTTGGAAATCTTCTGCACTCCACCTCAGCATAAGAACAAGATTCGGATTTCCAACACAAATGTGATGTCAGTGAGTTCTTCTACAGCCGTCAGAAACTTGACCAGTGTGCCACTAAAAGCATTTCCAACAGGCAACTGCAGACTTTTATCAACAGCTACCCGCCTTCGCTGGTTCCATACTAAAGATCAAATGGCCATCTGGTGAGAAAGAATAAGCAGCAAGAAACTCTAGCAGTGAGCTAACCACTCAAGAGCCGATCGCTCAAAAAATATGTAGGAGAAAATGTCGACGGATGGATTGGGCATACATCAAGAAGGCTGTCAAATGACATCGTGTGCAGTGCAGGCTACCATTCGAGTGGAATCCGAAAGAGAGGCGACAAGTGAGTCGTCCGTGTGAGAGTGATATGGATGAGATCGTTTGGGGAGGAAGAGATTACAGAATATAGCAATCGTGGACTCAGCTGAAGAGGACGACAGAAAGTAGAAGAAAGTGGAGATGTGTTGTTGAAGCCCTATGTTCCACCAGAACCCAGGTGAATAATAACAATAAGTTGGTTAGCAGTTTGAAATGGACACAGTTTGAGGGGTGACATTTTCACCAGTTTTCTTTGGAAACGAAATTATTCAAACCATAACATATCTGATCCACTTGATACTATAAATAGTAATCAAGAAAACAGGCGTATTTGTACAAAAATATGTACTACTGACTGGCTGAGATGAGTAGTTGTATGCCATACATATCAACCAGTAGTGCTCGCTAGCGAACTCGAAGTAATCTAAACACCAGATGGCCATTTACTTGTTCGGGGCTGAAGTCATCATCAGTGTAATCATAGAGGTGTGTACACCGCTTATAGCAAGCCAGCGTGCACACTGGTATTACAAGTTCACCAAAATAGCTAGCCGAAAATGGGGTGATTTGAATTAATTTGACTGTCTGAGATGAGTCACAACAGGTGCACCACTGAAGGGTTCGACCCGAAACCAGAGGAACAGCTGCCCAGTGTTTAGATCACTTCATTATATCTAGCAGGAACAGCTGCTTGAAACAAGTGGTATACAACTACTCACGTCAGTCATTCAGTAGTATATAATTTCATGCGAATACTCTACGTCTTCCTGATATTTTTCTTGCTGCGGTAAAATATTTAAGTGAATAAAGCACCCCAGTACAATTGGTTACTTGCTACTTAACAAAAGCGTATCAGTTTATATGCACAACAGTCTATTTCAAAAACAGACCTTTAATAAAAGTACAATTCTTTTCATGTTAAAAATTAAACATTTTATATATGTATATCATTGAGAAAGAAAATGTTAGAATTAAAGGTAAAATGCAATATTGTTAAATTTTTACAATTTCAAGCATCAAAACCAGTTAGTAGAATCAAAATGTTGGCTTGTTTCATTGATATATTATCATAGAAAACGGTGAAACCAATAGTCTCCCAGATAAATCCTTATTGTTTTGTTCACCACTGAGTAGTTCTGTGTTTACCAATTAATTTAAATTAATTTCAATTTTAAATCAAATCTGCATGTTGGATAACGTAGCTGTTTACTTAATTGATGTGTAATTCAAGGAAGTGAAATTTACAGTGTACAGAATCCAGTGAATTAAAAAATGGGATACATTGTAGAATTCGTCAATACTTGTTGATGAGTCTTCTTCTCTTCAGTTAAGGCGTCATTAGAACTACTCGTAGTATGATTAGCCCCACCTACTTTATGAAAGCTTTTCTGAGTGACTAACGCAGTCCCGTTTACTTCCTGATCGTCATCACTATCATCATGATGATCACGATCATCATCTTGGGAATCTGTACGACGATTGAATGCTGATTTAAATGATGCTTCATTCTCTATGGAGGCAATTTTACAATGTTTTACTGAATCTCTTTGAATATGATTCTGTTGATATTCGGGTAAACCATTAAAAATTATCCCGTGTATATTTGTCGAAATCAAAGACTGATCTTTAGGATTTTCAGGTAGAAAAGTGATTTTTGTCTCATCATCAGAAATTTGAGATATTTGACTTGAATGATTTAAATTATCAAATTTAATGGCTTCCAAGTTAGTCTGAACATTTAAATGTCCACCGAAGGGTGACTTCTTTTCCTTGTCAATTGATTTTGTATAGGGATTTTCATGAATTGAAATACGATTTGCTCTACGAGACAAACTTTCAGACGGATAATTTTCACTTGTTGTTGTTGTTGTACGCGCTGGGCAGAAAAGAAAACCTGATTCTCCAGATGGAAAACGTACTACTAGGGGAGTTAAACATGTTGGCAGTTGACCTGAATGCAGTGTGAGACCTTCATCCAACTGCTGTCCTGAATTATTAGTACCATGGGACAGTGAATCAATTGTAGAACTGTTTCTAAATGTGTATGCATTCAAATCGTGACTGTTCTGTCTTTCATCGTTGTCATTATCTCTGGGTGTGAACTGGTCACTTTTAAGGTGAATTGGTTTTCCTTCTTGGTGAGCTGATTGTGAAGAAATAAGTTGTTGTTGAGAACTTCTATTGTAATCATTTGAATAGGCATATTGTTGTTGGGATTGCCTTCCAATTCTTCGTGTAGTCTTCTCTGACTGTTCACCAGAACAACTGTATTGAAAGCGATACGCTGAATGAGGATTTTGTGGTGATAATATTATATGATTAGGCGGTACAACACTGTTCCCGTTAGTTGTATCTGTTAGACTTATTGAATCATTTGAATAGATTAGAGAACCATTTAAGCTACCATTCTGTCCAATCATACTATTATTATTATTGTTATTATTTCCATTCGCGAAACAATATTCGGGTAACTGTGGATGACAGCTCGAGTGTTTAGAATAGTTAACAGACTGTGAATGGAATAGATTTACCCTTTTACTACTGACTGGATCGGATTCTAATGACACTCCAGAACTACTCTGTCCATTCTGTTGTGTATGAAACTTTAAAATATCATTTGGATTAATTGTATGAGGATTATTAACTAAATGATGAAATGTAGGACTGGTTGTTACAAATGGTCCATTCGTTGTAATCGTTGTAGTTGGTAACGGTGTTGTTGATATAGTCGATTGAAAGAGATTTGGAAGAATAATACTTGTGTTCATAGGCAATAATCGATTACCTTCTTGAGGTGTATAACTTCCAGGTTTATTTTGATACAGTAGAACTGATTCTGTTAAATTATCATCAATATGTGTAGAATAATTCACAAAACTTGCATTTGGTTCAATCAATTGACCAACGTGACATGAAGTCATAAGTATGGGTTGATGATTTGATTGGTTCAGAGATTTGTCTAGCGTATTTGACATTTTAAAATCAGATTTTAGTCGTAGACATAGTAAGCACTTTAGATTTGAGCTAATATTCCCATGTAGTGTGTCATCTATGAAAAACAAAGCGTTGATAATTAGGCATTTCACAGATTAATTTAATTATTGCACATACACTAGATAGATACTAAAGTTTATCAAGTGTCAGTTTGTAGGGATTTGATCAGTTCAAAGTTTGATCGCGAACTGATATGAGTTGGAGCAACTAAGGAAACGAAAAAGTAATGGACAGCTGTTTCGTCCCTGTATGGGACTCTTTGCCATAACGCCTCCATGATCCCACCTCAAAAGTAGGACGAAAAAGCTGTCCAGTAGTTCATACTTTTCAATGGTGAACTGTGTCCGTTCAGAAAATAATGCTGTTTCGCTCTGTCACCTACATGCCACTAGAACGTTAAAAATAGCGAGATGAAACTGATTAACTAAATTATCTTTGTCTTGTTCAATACCACGGTAGCGAGTAAAGATTATTGTGAAGATATACATGTACGTTTGAGCCGTTTAAAAGATATGACCCAGCTGATCTTTTATTATTTCCATTCCTCTGCATTCTCAGTGGAACACAGGACTTCAGTCTCCAGCCTTGAAGTTTTAGTAGGGGCAGCGTTTTACTAGTTTACGGTGTGGGATTAATAAAATCACTTTCCTACCGGGTAATCAAGGTTTAGGAGTGTGTGCGTCGGCATTTGAACTTGGACCAAGTTCATCGTTGGTGAGCATTGTACCAATAAATCACCGAAGCATTTAGTCCACCTGTTGCAGTGAAAAATAGGATTGTAACTTTTACCAGTTCAATATGTCGCGTGACCACTAGAGAATGCCATCAGCATCGCGACTTCTCGGGTAGAACTCAGGTAACTACCTACCTGAATAGGGCCAGTCGGTAGTGAGCAACTCATTGATATTTAAGTGTTGGGTTGCGGGATAGCGGAGCCCGTGGCTTAATGGTCTACGAACTCGCCTTGTAACCATAAAGTCCTAGGTTCGAACCCTTAGAGTTTGTACTGATGAAAAGTCTCAAAGTGGGAGGAAACAACTATCCACTAATCCCAGGTTCTCTAACCGATTTCAGCTCATAATGAAATCCTGATGAAATCCAAATCCATTACAAAATACGTAGAAAAAAAATTTCATATTTGATATGGTATGAAAATGAAAGCGAAATATTTTCATTTTCTGTACAAATTAACTTACCTAAATAACTTTTCAGTAGTACACATCGAATTATTAAGATTATATTGATAATTAAAGAAATGGCCAAGACTCCAACCAAACTGAGAACAAGTTCTGGACGCGTTACTAAATATCAGTGGTGGTAGGTAGAGTGGTGGAAGAGAAAAAGCAGTAAAGTTATGTCTTATTTACAAAGAGAAAAGTGAAAAAAATGAAATTCACATTGGTAATGAAGTCAAACTAGATTATTCCAGGTGGAAAAAAATTCTTGAAATAATAGAGAAGATTTGTAGCTCAGGCGGGTGATTTCGAATTAATTGTGCTTTTTGTGCTGGTTGATTTAATTGCGAAGTCAATAAAAAACAAATCACTTGACAAGACAGTTCAAAATCCATATCAACAAAAATGACCAATAGAGATGTAAATCAGCTACCAATCACGACAATGGTTACCAGGAGACACAATTGTATTATTCATGGAGAAGTGAAACTAGTCCATTCCATATTAAAACCTGCGCTGAAGATGTTATCCAGAAGGACGATGGAAGCTTCGCAATTAATCGATTTAGAGCTGTAATGTGTGACGGGCGTTCTACAATCTTTTTAGTAGTAAATGTGCAGCATTTAAGTTTTAGTTTTATTCAACAGACTAGTCAAATATCTTAATGGAATACAACTTGTATACTCCTACTCAAACTTAGTGCTATCCTCTTTCTTTAAGCACTGGAATATCATGTACTCTTAGAGAAATAATGCATATATGAAAATCAAATTGTTTTTGCGATAATTGTACAGGAATTCCCATTTACTGGTTGAAGTTCATTTCATTTATTGTACAGACTAAGAACTCGATGTGACAGTTCATCAAACTGCTGAACTTTGGCGCAAAGGTTGGACAGGATCCTGCAGTCCAAGATTCGTGATACACACCAATTTTCATTATACATTTTATCTGTGGGAATGGAAAATGCATCCAAAATGATCTGCAGCATCTTTTCGCACTATATACATTCTGAGTGGTCTTCAAGCTCTTGGAGGTTCAGTAGGGGTTGTGTTGTTTCCACAGGATGAGGTTGCTAGCTTCACATGCAACCTTCTTTCTTTATCGGGTTTACAAGTAACTAGTAAATTAGGCGAGTTTCAGGGGTGAGTCAGCGGGAAATTGAACTGGGAAAAAGTGTGTGGTTGGCAAGCATTTTACCATTAAACTACCAACGATGTGTATCAGTGTGGTTACTGATTATTCAGTTTATTGTGTGGTACTTCAGAAATTTTGGAACTAGTTTGGACACTGTTCCTAATGCGAATTAACTCTCTGATAATAAGAGGGCTACTATAATGCAATAGGCCTAAACTGAATATATTCATCTCCGAATATAAATGTAAGTAAAAGTTAACAAATAAAACCACGAATTGATTTTCTTGAAACTATTATTATTTATTGTATCCTTTAATTCCTACAGGAACATAGGGCTTCAGCCGTGCGTCTCCATTGCGTTCTGTTCTCTGCTAGAGTCTTCACCTGGCTCCAAGTCTGCCCACACGCTTTCATCTACTCTTCACATGACCTCCTCCAAGTCACCCTTGCACTGACGACCAACTCGCCGCTTCCCTTTCGGGTTCCACTCGAGCAATGGCTTGTCTAGTGATGTCACTTGATGGTTTTCTCAGAGTATGGTCAGCCAATCCATCTCCATTTCTTCCTGCCTATTTGTTTCACAATCGGTTCCTGCTGGGTTGGTTCGCTCATTGCCAGAGATCTCTGTTGCTGATCTTTTCTGGCTGGCCATCTGATCTTGAGTATTGAGCGAAGACAACTGTTAATGAAGGTCTGTAGTTTGTTTGAGGTGCTCTTTATGACGCACTGGCCAAGTCTCTGATCCGTATAGTAGCACTGACTGACTTCACATTGGAGTTGAAAATCCGGATCTTATTTTTGATTCTGAGTGCTGTTGACCTCCACACAGACTTGAGAGTAGTGAAAGCTTGTCTTGCTTTTCCGATTCCTGCTTTGATATCCTCGTCAGTTCCGTCTGCCTGTAGTTGAAACGATGCTTCTCAGGTCGGTAGGTAAAGGAGGTTGTTTCTTTCAGGTTCCTCCCATTTATGCTGATTGTTGTCTGTTGTTGTTGCTGTTGGTGGTGTTGCCCAGGAATTTTCATCACCTCTGTCTTCTCTATGTTCATCTGAAGTCCTATCTTCTCTGGATGCTTCCTCTGCCAACTTGTTGCTTTTCGCTTGCATATCTTCCAGTTTGTGGGAAATCAGACATATATGTCATCGGCGAAGTCCAGATCCTCAATGATGTTTTTGTGTGAGTCCATTTTATGCCTGTTTCCTCATTGCCCGCTTTTTGTCACATTATCCAATCTACTGCAATCAGGAAAATCATTGGAGATAGTAGGCAGCCTTGTCTTACTCCTGTCCTCACTTCGAAGGATTCCGTAAGTTTCCCGTTGTGGATTACTTGGCATGCAACATTGTCGTACAACTGTTGGATGAGATGTATAATTGTCGGTGACACTCCGTAGTAGCGAAGTAGTTGCCAAAGCACCTCTCGATCGACGCTGTCGAAGGCCTTTTCAAAGTCGATGAAGTTGAGTGAGATAGAGAGGTGACTGCCACTCCAAGCTTTGTTCAATGATGATCCGTAATGTGGCGATCTGATCAATGCATGACTTGTTTCTCCTGAATCCAGCCTGTTCCGGTCGAAGTTTTTCATCCAGGTTGGCGTGTTTGATTCTCTCCAGGATGATGCGGCTTAGTATTTTGCTTGGGATCGACAGGAGCATAATTCCACGCCAGTTCTTGCATTGACTTAGGTCTCCTTCCTTTGGTAGTTTGAATAAGTATCCTTTCTTCCAATCCTCGGGTACTTTGCCTTCTTTCCACACCTTCTCCAGTAGTGGCGTCATCAAGTCCGCTGTTGTCTCTGGGTCCGTTTTCAATGCTTCTGCTGGGATTCCATCTGGTCCTCTGCTTTTCCAGCTTTTAGCATCTTGATTGCCTTCAGGACTTCTGATTTCGTCGGGGGGTTGGTGTTCACTGGTAGCTCTGTCTCCGTTGTTGGTATTGCTGGGCACGTTGTAGGTGGTGGTCGATTTAGGAGTCTTTTGAAGTGTTCAGCTCAGTGTTTCCTTTGCTCCACTTCTTTGTTGAGTGACTTTCCATTGTCATCCTTCACCGGCTTGATTTGTGTCAAACGTTTGCCCGATAGGTACCTAGTAGTTTGGTAGAGTGTTGCGAGGTCTCCTTTGCCTGCAGCTTGTTCTGCCTCACTTGCCATGGTTTCATAGTACTTTCTTTTGTCTTCTCTGGCACTCTTCTTTACTCTTTTGTTCAGTGTCTTGTAGCTTGCGTTCAAATCATGTTTTTGTTGCTCATCGGTGCACTGGAGAATCTTTTGTTTCGCCATCCCTCTCTCTTCTATTAGTTTCCAAGTGTCCGCAGTGAGCCACTGTTTGTCCTGTCTCTTCTTTCTGCCTAGAACTTCCATGCAGGTTTGACTCCACACTGTCTTCAAGTCGTTCCAGTGCTTTTCGACGCTGACCTCTTCGCCAGTGTTGATTTGTGTCTCGGCTTTGTCTTTTATACTTGCAGTGAAGATGTCCTTTGTGTCCTGGTCCTTCAGTTTTTGAGTGTTGAACTTGGCTTGTGGTCTATCTGCAGCCCTTGATTCTCTGAAAGCTTTTAATTTGATTTGGATTGTCCCTTGTACGAGATAGTGGTCTGAGCCAATGTCTGCTCCTCTTCTTACTTTTGTGTCTAGCAGGCTGCGCCTCCACTTCCTTGAGATTGAGATGAAGTCGATTTGGTTTTTGGTTCGCCCATGTAGCCTTGTGGATATCCTTGTGTTTGTATACGCTGCCACCAATCACTAGTTCATTGAAGGCACAGAAGTCGGCGAAGAGTTCTCCGTTTTCATTCATTTCTCCGAGAGCTTCTCTACCCATGATGAGTTCCCTTCCTGTGTTATCTGATCCCAGTTTGGCGTTCATGTCTCCCATTAGTATTTTGATGTCACCAGCTGGAGTATTGTCCATTGTTGCCTGTAGTTGTCTGTAGAATTCTTCTTTCATTTCGAGGTCTGCGTTGTTGGTCGGTACATAGCATTGTATAATTGACACTTTCCTTCCTTTGGAGTTGAATCTGGCGGTTATTATCCTGGGCGAGATCGCTTCCCATTGCATCAGGGCCTTCGTTGCCGTTGGTGACATGATGATAGCCACGCCCTCGGTGTGCGAGTGGTTGTCTTCTGGGTGACCGGAGTATATCACTGACTCACCCGTTGACAATTTGGTGAGTCCATTTCCGTTCCATCTGCTCTCACATATTCCCAGTACTTGAATTCTGTATCTTTTCATTTCGTTTGCAATCTGCGCTACATTTACCTAGTTACCTAAAACTCTGAATTTTGTGGAATATCTTATCAAAAAGTTGCGAAAAACTTACACAATTTTTTGACTTTGAAACACTGAATCCTTGGATATAATATTGCATATCAATATCACCTATAACTATCTATTTGCCACTCTGTGCTTGATTAACACTAACTAATACCTATAATTGTATATATATTGATGGATTTACATGTTCAAGTTGGCTCAAGTCAGTGAGTCTATGATTTTGGTATCATTTTGGTTAACTGTAATTGACTGTGATATTATTATTGTTGTTATCGCTTGTTACTCTCCTTGTTGTGAATTATATCCTGTGCTGGTGTTTTTCTGCTTGTTTATTCCCTGTTTTCCTGGTTTTTAAGGGGAGCAACCCACAAGGTCGCTTCTCTCTAAATTATAAATTGATGTAACAACCCCCCTTTTCAGGCGTGAGGCTAGCAACCCCACCCTGTAAACAAACCTGCTACAGAAACTTCAGCACGATGTATCTCCCCGAGACGAAAGAAGAAGTCTTTCTTGAAACTAATATAGCATAAATTATTTGGAAGGTTTTAGAAAGTGAGTTAAATTATTTTTGACGAGTTAACTCGTAAAATTAATAAATTCGGTAAAACAACTTGATCAACACTTTTATCCCTGGTCACTAACCACTTGATGAAATTACTGAAGTTCTAGTGAGAAGTTTTGACCAGAGAGTTTCGCCAAGCCAGGTGTGAAAATAAACACTAGCAGATGATACTGGCCGGTGGCGGTGCTAATTATAGCTGTAACAACAGAAGACGAGGGCCAGGCGACAGATCGTTTATTAAGGAAAATCAACACATATTTATAGATTTTAATGTACATTATTGTAGATTATTGTTAGTAGAAAATACAGTCTTTTGATTGGTTGTTTCTCACAGAAAGTTAACCTTGCATCTCTTTGTGGTTGTGTCAGATCATCCATATGCTAACTGTATCCGCCTACGCAAAGCCTTTGTTCTCAATTTCTCACCACCAACATTGGGGACATAAACAAAAACAATTTTGGCTAGCAGCCAGCTCTCACCACGTAGCACCAGTAGCTGAATGGACAACTGTCTCTCCTCGCAACTTGTAGCTCCTGAGTCCAATCCTCTGTGGTATCATGGGTGCACACTGATGACGAGTCTCAGATCTGGATGAAACCGTTGTCCATCACTTCATGATTTTCAGTGATGCCAGTTCATTGTGTAACCTGAAATCAATCGAATTCCTGCAAATCCCCAGTTTCGGATTGGTATTACCTTGCCATAACACCATTAATTCAGAGTATAAAGTTTTAGAACTGTCCCGGGTGCTAGATTTTTTACGTTTCAGAAGCTCAAATAAAGTGAATCTCATAACTAAACACTCATAGCCGTCTTTTGTTCAGTAAACACTAGTGGTTACTTTTTTATGAGTATACATTTGCTGGATTGTGCATGGATGCAGTTCTAGCTTTTTATATGATCAGGGAGCATTGACAAGAATCCATACTCTACTCGTTCTGTAATAATTTTTTCATACTCACAGTTTATCAGCAATTGGTAGGGTGAAGATTCTGTCAGGATATTTAAATGTGCTTCCAGGCACTTTACTTCAAAGGTGCCCGGAAGCAGTGTACACGTGATGAAAACCAGGTCAGTACAATATGACTTTGCACTGATAACTGCAAACGATCGGCTTGTAATGTATAAAGGCTTCTTGGTACTGTATCATAAACAGATAGAATACAGTTCGCAATTAGTCATTAGGACGGTGAAATCCAATATATTTTGCTAATACTATTCTGTTGTTTTAGAAGTGTTTTATTAAATAAGTGAAACAGTGCAACTTCTTCAATTCAATGATTCACCTAAGTGAATAAGAAGCGTGCGATTCGCTTTAACCTATGAAATATAATTTATTCTAAAATGATGAAGATGATTTTTAGCTCAGGTGGATGGTTTTAGTATTAGTGTCACCTGGGTTGAATCATCAATCACATTTCACAGTTTTAAAATTCCATTTTGACAGCCTCTTCAAGGTTGAGTTCGTGCCTTCAAGCTCGGCTGTACAATGTTACTTGAGATTGAACTCAGGGACCTCCAGTTTAAAAAACAGTGTGTTTATCATTCATTTTTTAAAGTTGCACATCAGTAATCCATGAATTCTAACATTTGTCACTTCGTGGAACAGAATCACCGCATTTCATTTTTTGATGTAAACAGAAAATAAAGGATACAGGATTTTCATCATGAGCTGACATTGGTTAGAGAACCATTGGAAAACCACCTGGGACTACTGGACAGCTGTTTCGTCCCAGTTTGAGACGCTTCAGCAGTATGCACCCACCACCAGGGTTCGAACCCAGGGCCTTCTGGTTACAAGGCGAGCTCGTATACCGTTAAGCCACTGGGACCCGGCGGGTGCGTACTGCTGACGAGTCCCAAACTAGGACGAAACAGCTGTCCAGTACTCCCAGGTTTCCCAATGGCTCTCTAACTAATGTCAGCTCATGATGAAATCCTGTAACCAATCAACCAAATCCCTACAAACCAATACTTGAATATCAACGGGATGCTCACTGGCGACTAGCCCTATTAAGGTAGGCTGTTACCTGGGGTTCAAGTGGGAAGTCGTGACCAGTAGGATGCAGCAAGTTGGGCATGAGGACAAATACTCGCTGAAAACATTGGCTAGCGGTTGCACTGTGTCGTGAATTGGCAGAAGATAGAATTCATGCGCCATTGGATCGGGTCCCAGTGGCTTAACGGTATACGAGCTCGCCTTGTAACCAGAAGGCCCTGGGTTCGAACCCTGGTGGTGGGTGCATACTGCTGAAGCGTCTCAAACTGGGACGAAACAGCTGTCCAGTAGTCCCAGGTGGTTTTCCAATGGTTCTCTCACCAATGTCAGCTCATGATGAAAATCCTGTAACCAATCAAATCCCTACAAACCAACACTTGAAAATAAAGGATACTTGGTGAGAAATTTATTTTTAATAAGGTGAATTATTCCTCCTGTTGAGCACTTGTTTACCTGAGTTTATTAAGGTAGAGAAAACACTTGGAGCTAAACAAACAACGGCTTATATGTGCTTTAATAAGTTGATGCAGTAGGTTTGCGTGGAAGTTCGTCGACAGTTCAGTGGAAGGGTGCTCACCAACCATTCACATGTTCAAAGGTGAGGAAGATAATCAACCAACAACGATAAGGAACACTTACTATCAACGATAGACATTTGAACGAGGTCACTTTTTCCACTTATTTGGGTAGCATTGTATCAGCTACAGGAGGCATGAGTGTCGAACTCAGGGTCGGTGAAGCAAGACAGACATTCATCATTCTGAAATCAAGGCGGAAGTCTACTGTGTTCAACATAAGGAACACTAATTTCCCTTTCACAAATGCCCAACTTAAATACTGGAGGAAATGGAGACGGACCGGAAAAGCGTTGGGGAGACTGCTGAGTGAAATCGTGCTCCTGGTGGACAAGTGGGACCCGAACGTTAAACTATGAGTGAGTCGTTCGACGGTGGTATAGCGGAGATCGTGAAGCCAGCTAAACAGGAGCGTATAAAACAGAATGAAATGGAAATGCGCTGTTGATGCCTTGTGTTTTATTCGGAAATGAAGGGAATAATAATTGATTGAGGCTTTACAGTGAAAGTTTGAAGGTCAATATTTCCTTCGGAAAGTATTCGAATTAAATAAGGTTTCTGTGGCAGGTTTGAAATACGCGCATTATTTAATTTATTAGAATATTTTAGACTTCCTTTTTATTAAGTATTTTACACAACGTAGAATAATAAAATAGTCTTTCTATTTCACAATTTAGAGTTTTTGATTGTCATTCCCGTGGCTGTTAAATGTTAGACGGGCTTCTGTAGGGGAATTCATTTCATTTTGAAAAGATTACTGTGGTCTATCATCTAATGTCAATAAACATTTCATTAGTAAAATCCAAATTACGACATGCTTTATAACCAACATAGTCCAACCTGTCAATTCACAACAAATTTGAACTAAGTTCCTTGAAATAACGTAAATTCCACAGTTGTTTAATGCTCTTTTATATTCCGTTTTATAGTACTTTCCTTATGTTTGTTACAAATGACTTTTCTAGACTTGATCTTATTACTGCAAATTTTTCATAAGTGCTGAAAATAAATATTTGGACTGAGCGCCTGCGTTGATTCAGTGTAACTTTTCAGTCACATGGCGAGACAAATGATATCTATCAAGAGTTTAGGCGCTGCTTTCCAACTTGAAGTCATAACTCATGACCGCTGCAAAATACTTCACTGGTTATTCAGTTCACTACAATCTAAGCAGCACTGCCAGCCTCAAGCATGGTGTAAACACTGCATGACACAATGCTTACTTTCGCCTTCATCGAAAGAAAACACACCCGTTGATTGGCTTCGCGAGAGCCAATTTTCATCTGCTGTAATCATTCGTCCTTGGAGTGGGGCGTATTCGTGATATTTGCGGAGAATAAGTTAGTTTCTTTCATACTTTGTAGTTTCAGTGGTCCTGCATTACCAACCGGTGACCCATCAGGGTACTAACCCGGCCTATTGCTGCATAATTTCAAGAATGAGATGAGAATTGCTGTGTTTAAAGTGTCATGCTCGTCATTGAGTTCTGTAGAGTCATTACAAAATCTGTCACTATATGGGCGGTTAAATTATTCAAAAGGTGTGCAGAGAAAAATTATAACCATCTTATATCTGGAAATAAAGCCTGCCAAAAATAACTTTTATCTTTGCAGTGAAACACTGTCAGTGACTCATCAATATTTTCAACTTACATCTGAATTCAAGAAATTGACTACTTTCTTGTTTTTGAGTTGGACGAAATTGACTTTTCTCTCCAGTGTCCTGTTTCCAAACTTCAGTTGAATTCGTGGAATTCTCTTTCAGAATAAAAAAAGAAACGTTTGTTTAAGAATAAAATATTATTTTGTCAGTATACTGGTTAATTTCATCGATAAACTGACAGATGAACATATAGATTGTGTAAAGGACTGCTTCAGATGGCTTCAGTGGGAAATTGTGTGAAAGTGTTAGTACAAACATATGAATTCTTATGGCTTAGTTAAATAAATTCTGAAAAGGAGAAGAATACCTGTGTAAAACAACTTTGAAATATAACTTTCTAGGTATTCCACTCCTTAGTGTCTGTCTTCAAGGACACTCCTGGCTGGAGTGCGACTAGGCTGTGGATTCGGGTTTTCAATTTGGTTTTCTGACATTGGTTTATTCCATGACTAAGTTACTGTCTCTATAGGAGTGAACCAGGTACTCAACGTTTCAAATGCCATCCCTTTCCACCCGGCAGTATGATAACAATTCCTGACGTAAATTTATAATTCATTTCATAAATTTAAAGGCAGACAGTAAGATAAGGGTAGGAGTTTGCCTACTGTGCGACTTATCGATTATCTCTCTTTTATCAGGAAACAGTTTTGTTTATAAAAATAGTTTTATTGAAGACAAGGATGTAAAGGAAAAAAGCATTCTCTTATTCTACAAATACTAAAATTCAGTATTTTTGGTTGAAAGAGCTGACATGAGTTACAGAACCATTGGAAAACCCCCTGGGAGTACTGGGCAGCTGTTTCGTCACCCTGATCTGGGACTCATCATCAGTACGCAGCCATTGGGGTTCGGATTCAGAACCTTCTGGTTGCAAGGCCAGTGAGCTCTTGGACCAATAAGCCACTGGGACGCAATCCAATGGCCCATTAATTCTAACTTCTGCAAATTCATGACACAGCGCAACCACTTCTCAATGTCTTCTTCGATGAGTTACTGTCTCACCTTCAACATGCTGTACCCTACTGGTCACGACTTCTCACTAGAACCTGAGGTCACTGCCTGAATATGGCCAGTCGCCAGTGAGCATCAGATCAATTTTCAAGTATTCGTTTTTGTAGGGATTTTTGTGTGCTTGGTTGGAGGATTAAATTCAACCAATCATATGAAATCTCTACAAAAACCAATACTTAAAATTCAGTATCTTTATATGGTGATACCAAGTGATTCATTCAACTATCAAGAGATTTTAAATGGTGGAAATTTTGTTGTGTACTTAAGAGAGTCGTTCAATTATGGAATGATGTATAGTGAAAATGGTCTTCATAGAAGATGAGGTCAAATGCAGTGGCTACAGGTGAATTCAGAAAAGGCAAAAGCTTTATGTAGTTCACTGGGAAGCGTTTAGAAACAAAACAGTGGGTTACAGTGGAGAATGTTGTAGAATTACAAATGAAATGCACTTAACAGTGAAAATGACTCTGCACCTTAGCACGTGATTATGAATGGGAGGTTTTCTTCAGATGCTATTTCGGACAAAAATAATTTTTGTATTGAGTACCTTAAGTTCATTTTAGCGGTCCCCAATAACTGAGGGTACATATACGCTAAGTGACTGGCAGTTTAATATATCAAACTCTTTCAATAAAGGAACTAAAATGATCCTACTATATGTCGTCTTTATTACTGCTTTATACATGATTATAATCATAGTTAAGCAACAAGAGAAAACATCGATTATTTATTTTTTAAATTTCAGTTCATGGAATCCATAAATCTCAGAAAGACGTGAACAACTAATAATTTTGAAGGAAGAGATCGTAGCGATAAGATGACTAGTGATGTCTACATGTTCAATTACTGCGCTACTTATAGCCTGACTCCCACCGATTTGTAATCAAGCGAGAGAGAGTGCTCTTGATTCCTTTGGACGAAAGCCTCCTCAAACAACGGATATCCTCAACTCCAAATAAGCACGTAAACTGTTAAACACACACACGAATTTCGTAGACTAAGGGATCCTATCCTTCAGGTTATTGAAGAGTAGTGGTTGACTACAAAAAACTATTCTCAACTATGTTGGAGAGAATATCCTTTCTAAGGAATGTGAAATTCACCTTTTAGGGATGTTAGTACCTCTGAAATCAATGTTCAAATTTAGTATTCTCTTGAATATAGATGGTCAGTCACATCCCCTGGTTGTTAACGACATGTATTTGTCCATGAAACTTAACGGATCACTGTTTATAACTAGGGTTTTTCCCTAGAAGATTTACCTCATGTTTCAAACACTACCTCTTTCGTGGTCCTAATACATCTATGTTAACTTATTACGTACCCCATTTCTACCTCGGCATTATTTAGTTTTCGCTTTGTTTATTCAACCAGTGTATCAATCCTTTATTATTACGATTAGTATTATTACTATTATTTCTGCTTGAACAGTTTCCAGTATTATTCTACTTGTCACCAGTTTATTTATTTAATTCAGTAAAATCTGTTTAGTAAAGTTGCGTCATCGAAATTCTCACCATATTACGTGATGTCTTAATTGCCTTTCTAAGATTTATGTGTTCCTTGGACTGCTATGTAAATATAAACTTATATCATCGAATACAGTCAGAATAAACTGAAAAAGATCGTTGAAGACTGGGTATACTGGTGTCAGGAAGAATATTTATGCAACTGTTTAGCCAATAACTCCTGAACAGGCAAAAAACTTATTTGTTTTGTGACTACACATTACTTCATTACAATTGAATGAAACTCACTTTTTGAAGTTACCACTCCCTTCTTACTCCTACCATTCTAAATACGCCTTACACACTCGAAAAGTGTCTGTTTTTCAGTTTCAGTCTTATCCCTTCGTTTCAAGTTTTGAGCTTTAAAGTTTTAGTTGGAGATCTAAACTACAGACCTAACCTTCCCTCTTTGTCGGGTTAAGCTAAGTTAAGGAATATGTCGGCTGGGAATCAACCCCAGGATGACGTGTGTGGTTTATGAGAATTCCACTAGTGAAACACTGACGCGCTTAAAACGCTCTCGCACCGTAAGTGTAACACAAACCGTCTGGGCGATGGCGAGGAATCCTAACTGCTAGACAAAGCAGGAAAGAAGATTAAAGGAATTAAACGTGGTGATTAGAGGATCATTCAGTGTAGAAATGCAGCCTCATATTGTTTTTAAGAACACAATATTCCACCAAGGGACTCTTTGCAATGAATTTACTATCATTATTTACAGTCGTATATAATAATTTGCTTTATTCCAGAAACAGTACTAGTGGTACAGTGTGGAATTTTCAGCACATATCTACAATATTTGCATCTAATTTTATCAAACATTTAAAAGGAGTATTTCAAAAAATAAATATAAAGACAACAACAGCAAAAAAACAGGAAAAAAACAAAATAATTGAAAAAGTGCGAAAAAATACCAAGAAGTAGGAAGGAAAATAAACAGCATAAAATAATAACTCAGTATTGGGAAGTGGAAGCTATGATATGATTATGCATGGTGACAGTAAAGCTATAGTCATACAAAAAGTTATGAAATGTTATTTAAGAATGTTTATCGCCAAGATGATCAGTTTATTTGGTTGAAACAACTCTAAACAATTAATAAAATAACATTTCAGGGTTGTTTTTTTATTGTCAGGTCTAATGTAGTGTCTGTAGTGGTAGTGTGAGTAATCCTGAATAATACAAAATTTTAAGGTAACAATAACGTTCACAACCGATGATTGTCAGTTAATATTGCCGAAAGGAATAAAAAATAAGAAGAAACAACCACAAAAACTAATAATTACATCATGGTTAATGACAGGAAAATTTTGTACTACTCTTAGTGCTAATATAGTCGGAACCAGTAGATACACGAAGAAGGAATACAGTAAAGTACAAAAGTAAGCCAATGTTAATGATTCAGGTAGCTAAGTATGTTTAAGAAGGAGTTCCCTACAGAATACAAAATAAGAGAGAAATAAAAGAGCCTAAAATATGTTATTAACAACAGAGCAAGTCATAGGTTTCTTGCTTAACATTGTCTCTGTCACTTAGAACACGGGCCAAGTATGGTATCATTGAGTTCCTGTACTTGTTTGTACGAGCATAGATTATTTTATACTGATTTCTGGTTCTACTTGATGAGATACAAGGCGAGAGTTGGGAATAGAGGAGGTGTAGGGGGTCGGAGAGTATGGTTTTAGACTATTCAGATGCCTTTCTACTAATGTAGTGACGAGCTGACTGACTTTTACACCACTAGTCCTTCAACATCCTTCTCAGGATGGTATAGTCCTTTTTCAGTAGACCAGGAAAGACTAACGGGGAGCAGTAAAGTAGAATAGGTAAGATACGAGAGTTGACAAATTGTGAAAGTAGAGGTTGGGTGATTCCAGATTGTCTAAGTCTCTTAATGTAGTAGGTTAGACAGAACACTTTCTTAGAAATCGTTAGGATATGAGATGTCCAAGTAAGGTCGGAAGATAGAAATAGACCGAGGTATTTTGCATAAGACTTAGTTTGAATTTTAGTCCCCTCAATGCAACAGGCTTCATGAGAACTTACTAGTGTTTGTAGATCTCATTTATGCCTAAGGGAGAAGTCAATAGTCTGGCATTTTGAGGGATTCAGCATGAGACCATTTAGTTTGGACCACTCATTGATGTCCGACAGGAAGCTATTTAATTTGAAACAGTCCGACTGAGACTTAATTGGAAACGATACAGACAGGTCATCTGCATATTTGACGAAGTTGATTTCATCTGAAAGAGGTAAATCATGTAAGAAGAAGGAAAAGAGAAACGGAGAGAGAACAGCACCCTGAGGAACTCCAGCTTCAGTAAGCAAAGGAGAGGAAAATACACCATTATATACCGTGTACTGCATTCTATTAGAGAAGTAAGAGTGTAGCCAGTTGATAGTCCAGGGCTCAGTTTGTGTAAGGCTAAGCTTGTTTAACAATAGACCTCTAGGTACAGAGGCCTATATATAATTTTTAAGAGACCATATCTTGGGGGAGAATTTAAACAAAAGCGAATATCAACAACAATAATAATGTGAAATGCAGTGAAATATTTCTGACTATAATCATAACT